TCACACGCCCCCTCCCATAAAGCTGACCCCAGAGATGCCCTTTTCTCCACGGCAGCTTCATCCAGAGATGATCAGGTTTAAATGCCAAGAAAACCCCCGAGTACACCAGCACGCGAAACTCCCAGCTAAAAATTATCACAGCGTATTCCAACGACATTCATAAAATTCAGCACTTGTGATAAAAACCTGTCAGTGCTGGTCACCTCTCCCAGCTGCTGCTCCTTCCACCTACAGTTCACATCACGCACCCAATGTCACCCTCTCCTGACAAGCAGCAGACTTGGGAGTAGCTGTTGAACAGTATGACTGAAAGGATTCACGGCAGTTTCTTAGAAACTGCAGTAATTGCTTTTGTTTTTCTTGAAAATAATTGCAAATAAAACTATTCTGTAGTAATTGCACTAACAAAAACATGAAATCTAAAATTAACGTTAAAGAGCTGTAGCTGTCAGACCAATAACATCATGCTTACGAAAAAAAATGATCAAGATGTCTAAGCATTTGATTCAGCTATTACACTGTGAAATCTGAAATGTTCAGACAAAAAAATAGCAAGAGACTATAAGTCAAGATAGCTTCCATTTTCAGTTAGTTTAAAAACAGCCGAAAACTTAATTTTTCTAACTGCTAATTGTATACACTGTGAGTCTCATGCAGATTAATAAAACTTATTTGAAATCTAAATGTATTCTTAATAAAAAAGTGTTCAGAAATGACATTTCTAAGTTGCAGAGAAAGCAATTAGCATCATAGCTACCTGTTCAAACCTATATTAAGGACTACAGAATTTCATTTACACTTTTGCACGAAACAGCCTTTTCTTCTGCAATTTTAGCTACAAGTAGTGAAGATCCTAATTTGTTTTCCTGGGGGGAAAAAAAAAAAAAAAAAAGTTCTTGATCCTGCACCTGCACTCCCTGGAATGTGGTGAACAACAAGCGACGGCCTCACACGGCTGACTCGCTCTCCAGCTCTGACGTGGCGGCTCCTTTGCGCGTGAGCTTCAGCACAGTCGGCTTCTCCGCACTTGTGCCGTTGCCCTCGGTTGTCTCTGGAGGACCCAGTCCTTTCTGTTCTTCCTTTGGCTCTTCGTTGACTTCGGGGTAAATCACCAAGAAAGTAGCTGTTAAAAAACCCAGGAAGGATCCCACTGAAGCCACCATGGGAATGACTCTGACTGTGCCAACGGCATCCACCACGCCACCGAGCGCGGAGGCCACGAGGATCTGGGAGATGTAAACCTGACATGACAGAATAGCGCAGTCTATGCCAAATCCTCGCTTCGAGTTCCCGGGGCTATGGTGAATGTACTGGAAAAAAGACAAGAAACGTGTTACGAGGTAAAACAATGGACAAAATCAAATACTTCAACTTTAGTACCTTCCTCCAGTTTCTCAGCCACGTGGTCAACTTTACACCATCTTTGCGCATCACGCAGGCTGTACAAGTCCAGAGCAACAGCCTTTCTATCTAGTTATCAACGGCCTCTTCATCGCTCACCAAGAGGCAGGTATTTACTGGGGCACTCCTAGAGTGAATTGGCTCCAGGATTAGGTTTTGTAAAAAAAAAAAAAAAATTTACATGATACTATTGGTGGAAACTATTTTTATAATTATAAAGAGGAATACACCCCCAATTCCACCACAGAAACATGTTAAAATCCTCCTGTAATTTGTAATCCAAACGGAACAGTGCTAAAAAGCGGAAAGTAAACCTGTCCTGGTTTCCAGCACAATCAGTTTGCCTTAGGTCTCCCCAAACCTACAGATGCATTTCCAGACTCACTTCAATATCTAAGACTGTGAAGAACCTGAGTAATACTAACATAATATGTCAGAAAAGGTAGCAACAACTACGTATACAATAAACACTCCCATCTTTATTTCATCTCTCCGTCTACGATACGTACCCAAATCCTTTTATACCTCAGCACAGCGTACAGCAATCGTGACCCCGCTGAGCCAACTTGCCGCTAATACCATCTGATTTAAGTAGCAGCTCTTGCTGTTTACTATCAAGGACGAATCTGTGCTTGGCACACGTCCCAACAAAGCAACTAGCTCATATAACAGGATTTAATAAATCTATTTTGCCACTTTCATCTGCAGAGAAATGTGAATGCTCTGCCTTGATTAAAATGTTCCAAATATTCCACGTACCTGTTTAATATCATGGTATTGTCCCAAAAGCGCGTAGGGGCAGTAGGAGATACTCATAGAGACTATTCCCATAGTGCTGATCATTATCATGGTGACGTACACGTTGGGGAACATAGCCATCACTGCAGTGCCAAGGGAAAAACCCAGCGTGCCCAGGATGTAGATCACTTTTATACTAAGGTCATAGTTGTCCAAGTATTTCTGCAACAAGGCTGCAGAAATGAAGAATAAAACATAAAAATCAGTTTACTCGGTGAAGTTTGATGGTATTGACGTGGCCACGACAGCTCGATGTGCTGTTTAGGACCCGGATGCTCATCGCATATTTGGCTTGTTGTAGCTACACGGCTCAGCCCTTGTTGGGAAAAGGACGTATTGCCACTTCAGAGACCGGCGAACAAATTTGCTCAGAGATTTCCTTAAACCATGCTACAAGCCTGAAGCAGAACTCAATGCTTTGAGACTCAAACATATCATGGTCCGCTCAGTCCATTCATTAACTTTACCTATTTATTAACTTTATTGATGCAGGTAAACTCTGAGCCCAGAGGAGACTCTGTTTCTAATGTAAGCGCATTTGCTAAATGAAGTGATCAGATAACTGATGTTTATCGCCACATTTCAGTTTGTGCTCAGAAAGACGCTGCCCACCTGAACTTCAATTTGACATGCCTCAACAAAGAGGCAGTCCCCACGATGCCGACCTGTGCAGATGTGCCTGCGCACACGCTGCAAAAGGCAGAATTTAAGTTTGGCAAAAGCTCGCAAATTCAGAGTCTGTATTCCAAGCCTGGATTGTCTGTAGTTGGTTTATCTGTTATTAGAGAGCATGAAAGAGACTTTCAGAAATAGATATCTTTGATTTGAAAAAGTCTTTGTACAAACCCTCTTACATATGCTTGAATCTTCTAACAAGCATAATTTTAGGTTCCTGATGACCAGCTAAATGCTATTCATTATCCTTTGATACCTCTACATTTGAAAGAATTTCTTTATAATGATTCTTAAAGGAGCATCTCCCCTTATGACCATGTGAATGCTTTTCAAAAATATTCTTCCCCCCGAACAAGGAGGTGGATGCTAACTGAAACAAAACTATTTTTACCTTGCAATGCGCATATGAGGTGCATTCCACTGTCCGGTTGTACAAAGTCTCTTACCTGAACAAACAGCAGCAGTAGCAGCATAAATTACCAGTCCCCAGCACCCCATCTGAACTCCAGCGTTGTAGGCGTGTAACTCAGTTGAATTAGAAGGTGCCTGCAACAAATACAAACGCAAAGCCATTTTCTTGTAACGAGCACATCTCAGAAATGAGCAACTATAAGCAGGATGGCCAACGGTAACTGTTCTCTTACCTTCGGATCGCCCTGAAAGATGACCTGGCCCATGAAATCCGTATAGAACACAGCTTCAGCAATGATCGAAAACCAGGTTAAGAGGTGGCAGACGCACAGTCTCAGCAGCTCCTTTGGCATCTTTAGCATCGACAACCACAAGAGTCTGACAGTGGTTTCGGTTTCCCCCTCTTCGCTCTCTGTGTCTCCACTTGAATTTGTCGTGCCACTCTGATTCCTGTGCCTGTACCTCTGTCGCTGCCGCTTCTGCATGTCGTAGATGTCGTTCATGCTGCGTGAGGACTTTATCAAGACGATGGCATTGGCCCGACGAAAGCGATAGCGGTGAGAGCCTATTTTGCCATAGTACGAGAAGGTGTACGATGGCTGACGGTAGAACATGTGCCTCCGTCTTCGCATGGAGTTTGAAGTACTAGACTGCTTCATGCCTATTCTAGCGTGTCCATTGAGGAACTCTTTTGGTAGGGAGCCATTGACATTTGGGGCTTTATCTTCATTTAAGCGATTATCGAGCAACATTTCCTCCTCTTTCTCATTGTCCCTGAGGAAAGCAGACAGGTGGTTGAGTTTGGACTTCATGATCTCTTGGCTTGTGTTGTGGGGAGTGTTTGGATATGAAACATCCTGAAAAATGGAGGGTTCAATGTCATGCAGGAAAAGCAGCTCCGATTCAATTTCCAATGTAGCATCGGGCATGTGCAGAACTGAGTCACTCTTACTTCTTACAATGTTCACCTCAAGGAACTCCATATTGAGATCATGCTCTGACTGAACCTCATCATGGAACATAGAGGCTCCATACGGCTCTTCCTCACTAATTACATTCAGTCGATTCAGAGGGGGGAGACTACCACTGAATTTGACGCTGGAAAGTGTGTCTCCTTCATCATCAATCCTGTCCTGCTGAGGGTTATATTGCTCTTCTTCAATGCTAAACAGGTGGAGAGCAACGGAGACAGAGAAAATAATGGCTGCAAAGAAGAAAAGGACTTGCTCTTGAGATTTAAAAATACCACCCAAGAAGGTCTGTGTCCAGTCCAGCCCTCCTAACATATAACCGATTGCTCCTCCGAGACCTGTAGAAGAGAAAAAAAAATGAGTTCAGGAAAAATCAATTCAGTCACAATTTGGTCATCAGGAAGACCTGACAGCTGCCAAAAACATATCAACTAACTCCATACCAGCTGAAAATGCATGGATGTTAAGGGCCATATCTTGCTCTTCACTGTCCACCACATCCAACAAGTAGGCCCGAATTGGCCCTTCTGTCGCATCAGCGCAAAAGTCCAACACCACAACACCAAGCACCGTGAGAACTATACCAATGGGCTGCTTGTCTGGGACATCGCCAATAGCCAGACCTGAGGAAAAATGAGAGAGGAATCTGAGCGTGTCATTCAAAAAGGGAGAACTACTAAAAGCAATCTTAACTCATGAAGAGAAAGGTGGCCAACACACTCACTGGAAACATTGCTTTACAGAGTAAAATGGCAATTTCAAGTCTTTGGCACAGCTTCATGGAAGGCCTGGGACAAAGATCATACTTTTACATTTGTAAAACTGACATTTATTTTTCAAACTGTTATTTTGAAAGTATCTCTTAAACCTTTTGAGAGCATTGGATATTATTTCATGTTCCTTGCATGTATTTTCCTTCAAATGCTGAAGGCTGTTTTTATAAAAGACAGGCAGGGTGAGAGAGGAAGGCATCCAAACCCAAACTGCCACACATCATCTATCAGTTACAAACACGGGTAACTGCACTGCTGACAGCATTCCTGACATGGTGTCTAACATGTAATGGTCACAGCACAATAGGATAAAGTGAAATTTAACCCCCTCGACTCTCTTTTTGCTTTTCTTAAATATTCATATTTTCTAGATCGCTTTTATAAACAAAATATTTAAGGTTGAAGCAACATGAAGGTATTTTGCATTGCAAAAAACATCAGTCAGCTTCTGTCGATAGCATGGGATGAAATGCTTTTTGTCTAGAGTAGAAAGGCAGCATTAGTATACAGCTGGAGAATTTTTCATGAAACAAGCCATTGACAAAAGCATGAATTACTCGAATCAGAGAGATTTAAACGTTACACATGCAAAACTCTGATAAAACCATTAGCGTAACTGATGAAAATGACTGTGGAAAGAGATGAACTGGCTAAGCCACCAAATATCATCTAAATCTCAAGTGCTATGATTCCTGCATATTCAATCCTTATTTATACCAAATCCTCTGAATGCTAAAGAAGTTCATACATGTTCCACGCCCGGCTGAATCTTACAGCAGAAAACAGCAACGGTGTCAGTGCTTTAGATTTTTTGGAAACCTGGACAGTGCATACAGCGTAGAGAACAAGAGCTGAATAAGATCTATACACAGCTGATCTCCGGGGACATGGCTGTAGTACTATTAGGATTAGTGAACCTCTTTTTTAGCCTGCTCTAGTGCCGCTTGTTCCCCTCCCGATGACTCCTATTGCCAGAGGCCAAGTTATGAAAAAGGGTACGATACGATGACCACCTCAGTTTTTGCCTTTAGCTCCAACTTGAAATTAGGATTGCAAGTAACTGGAGACTACAGATAGGAAAGTGTGAACGTAAAATGGGAAGAAGACAGACAATGAAAGCACATAGGGTCCATCTAGAAGAAAAAATGTTAAAAATGAGGCCCCTTCCTACAAACTGCTAGACACTCCCTTTTCTCTCTGAAAAGTGACACAAGCCACCATTTCAAAAAGTTCAATTAAAGAGAGACTAGTATTGCTTTACCATATTGTGCACCTGCTCTAAATAGCAGCTCAAGCATTGTCTTACGCTGATGTAAATTGAATGTTAGTGACGAATCTTTATCTTCTAGTACAGAATGGGTCTAGAGGAGACCACGGAACAGGTCTTACTTCAGCTGAGTTTGCTCCAGGCTCCCTTGGGGGAGGCACAGCAGTGTTTATAGTGCTTTCCAGAAGAGAGTATTTGTTCAAAATCTACCGCAACCGCGTCCCAGGAACGGATGCATAAAGAATACAGCTGACTTTCGCAGTGCATTGCAGTAACCTCTGTGTTTTAAAGAAGTTTCATTGCACTGGAGTATCGGGAAAGTAGCAGTGGAGTATCGGGAAAGCGCAGGTTTTCCAGAAAGCTATGCAATAGACCATATTACTGTATAACAAAGAATTAGAGAAAAATCAAAGACTATATTTTCTGCTGATTTATTAGAAGCTGAGATACTTCAAAATAAACCAATGAACTATGTCTGAGCTTTGCTTGCCAGTATCAGTGGCTGCTGACCAAAACCACTGTGTGGAAGCAAGAGCTTTCTATCAATTAAAATCTTGTAACAGGGCTGCAGTCTAACATCTTGCATGCATCTGGATGAGGAGGAATAAGTCTTGGAGACACAACTACAAATTACAATTGATACCATATGATAGCAATTAAAAAAATTAATATTTATTGCTTGGGTAAATTAAAAAAACCCATAAGCTAAACATCATTCATCTGAACAGTTTGTCCACTGCAGTTTGCAGAAAATTGAAAACCATCATATGGCACCCCAATCTAGCTTAAAAAAAGCTAGCACACTGAGCCAAGGTAATGTTCTGCTCATTTCCCTCAATTAGTAAAACTTTTTCACAATAGACCTGCGTCTAGCCTGAAAAAAAAAAAAAAAAGAGTGAGCCAAGAGGATATTATTAGGTGCTAAGTTCCTTTCATTTGCATCAGTCCAACCATGATGTAAACATTTCCCCGAACGTACTTGCTGTCACCTCTCCTACACTAAATTTACAAAGAGATTGTAGATTAAGTTCAGTAGTAAACTATGTTCAAGGGAAACTATTTTTACCAGCTTTGATGGGGGCTCAGGAAAAATTATTTTCCCACATAGTTTTTGATAAACAAATATTAACTGTGTTCTGGACTTTTTCAATACCAGGTCTAAGAAAAGCACGAGAAAAAGTGAAAAGATAATTTTTGAAATAATGCTGGAAACAGGATGTGTTGCCAGATATGCATTAAAGGGAAAATGGATCACAACAGGAAACATTTCCCTGTGAACAGGTTGCTACAATTTTCCCATGTCAAGGATCGACCAAATTCGTCTCAGCGACTGCAAACATTATACTGGCAACAATTGTATTAATAAGACCGTATTACCAGTTACACCTATGATTGCACAACACTTAGCACAGCACCGTAACTTTTGAATAAGAATAAAAACATGCAAGATGGATAGCTCAACTGCTGCGTTGCAGAGATTTCTCCTGATTTTCACATTAAACGTAAGTTAAACCAACTGCATATCATTATCTTTACTTCCTACATAAACATCTTAAAGCAGATAGGTTAGCAGGAGATATACGCAGGTGATTTCCTCATTATTTACCTATAACAGAGCCGTTAAGGAAAAGTGCAACTCCAAAGAGGACACCAATGCAGAGAGCAAGAATAAAAGGCCGCCGGCGGCCCCAGCTCAGCGTGCAGCGGTCACTAGCCGAACCTATAAGCGGAGTGAAGATCAAGCCCAGGATAGGGCTAAGGAACCAAGTGAGGCTGTAGTATTGTTCAGGAAGACCTAAAACAAAGACAAAAAATGATTTTAAGGTTATGTGGTGCACACCAAATATTTCGCTTTATACATGAAATTTTGTTCTACTTTTGAAAACTGTAAATTCATCAGTAATTTACCTGCAGTAAATTCTCTTCCAAATGAACAACTCCGTTAAGATTTCTTATCAATGGTTAAAAAACAGCTAAGGAAAGCACAGATTTTATATCTTTCGAATATCTGGGCAATAAGAAGGTAACAATAGGTACATTTAAAGTACTGAAATAAAAGGTTTTTGAAAAAAAGATATATCTAACGGTGGAATCACTAATCTAGATTAGTTACTAATGTTCAAAAAAAAAAAATCACACTTTTCCTGAAATTTGCTGAGTACGCCGAATTTTTTTTGACAGGGGTTGGTGGTGATGGCCTCTGTGAAGAAGGTCTGGTGTGTAGAAGCCAAATAGCTTTGTTGCATCCTCTATCCATTTGTGGACTATAAACCCAAAGATCTTTGGGATGCTTGGAAAGCTACTTGGTTATGATATACACATATCCCTTTCTCAACAAAACGCCTGTTGAATGTTATAGTGGCACCGTTCATCTAAGACCACTACCATTAAGAGTTATTTAAGATTTAATGGACTGACGGGCAGAATTTCATTGTCATAGGAAATGTTTTATTTCTAAGCACAAAAATGTTTTCATATAAAATTGAAAAATGGACAATAAAAGAAAAAGCAGTTATCCATTAACCTCTAGAGAAATCTAAGGAAGCTTGCTTATCTCTACTACCCTCGCTTTTTTCCCAGAACTGAGGTGACTATCCATAGGATCGGATGGAAACAAATTGGATTTATTACACAGGAAAAAAAACCACTTGTTACAAATAATACAACTTTCTGGAGAAGGAAAGAAACCCCCCAACACCCTGCTTTACACCAGCATGGAGAGCAATGGCCTGCAGATGGCAGACTGGCCCAGAAGAGCAGCAACACCCGGGTCCTTTGAGATCCGCCTGTCTCAATTTACCAGCACAGGGCAGGTAACCGCTCCGACATGTTTCGGAGCAAAGTATTAAAACCAAAACAATCAATTTCTTGCACTTCAACTGATGCCAAGCCTGAAAAACTCAGTGTCTTTACCCTAGGAAGGAAAACCATTTATTATTCAAAATCACGTACTGTGAGTTTGAGCAGTATTTGACCTTCGCTGGCGAGATCGACCTGTACCTTGTGCTCCCTGTTCAGCACACTGAGGCATCCGTTATCAAGCAGGATTATACCAATCTCTGCCCAAAATAGCCTGTGCAGCAAATTTGGAAGTCTAATCTCCTGCTGTTTCAAGTGCCATCAAATCTTGACTAACGATGCTGACTTCTTCCATGAAAAAAAAAAAAAATCACATTTTTCTGAGATTTGTGCGCTCTGCAGTGATGCAGAAATATAGGAAAATAAGACATTTTTGGCCCACAACTTACCATAAATAACCAAATTCACCATCAGGATTCAAAGTCCAGGTGTGAGGTCGAGGTCTGTGTGATTTGACTCAACTTTGGCTAACAAACAGGTTAACGGTGACAGCCGCCTTGAGGAGTACAGAGTTATTGGAAGGGACTTTCTTCTTCTGAACCCAACTAACCATGCCCGTGAGCATCCTGCCCACAGGGAACGGGGAAAGCATCATGGTTTAGCCGTCTTTCCTTGCTACAGGCCTGTACCTGAGGCCATACTCCACATCAGCACTTACCATAAAACTACCGACTCCTTTTGCAGCAGGTTTTAGATCTCTAGGAAATGGGTATGTTCGTCCAGATGGCACCTTGTTCACCTCATGGCTCAAACCGCTACCTCTTGCTTAGATTTACCAACTCTTTGGCGACATCTTGGCTGACACAGAAGTTTTAGCTGAGACACACTTAGCGGGGGGACATAGTGGGTTTAAAGCTCTTGTTCAGAAGCCACAGTTGTTAGCACCATTCCTCCAGAGCACAGCATTTATCTGCACCACCCAGCTTCTCATTTAACGAGCCCTATCCTAATCACAGGTGCACGTCAGCAAAAAAAAAAATGAGTCAGAGGAAAAAAATTAGACCTCAGGTCAGGCTGTTATCCAAATAAAAGGGCAGGGAAAACTCCCATCTCCCTGTAGTTTTAACATGCTAACTTCTTTTCTACCTTTGAGTTCAACAGCCTTCCCAAACGCACAAGCAGGTTTGGGCACTTGTGCGTTTAACTGGCACCTCACCTGCTCCAGGAAGCTAACGCTTATCAGCGCCTGAGCTGGCATAGAGATAGGGGAGGTCTGCTTCAAAAAAAAAAAGAAGGATGAGAATGAGGAAACATTTAGTTTAAGGCAAGCAAAACTAAACAGTAGACAGGTTATGATTTATTTAGGGTGAATGATTTTTCTGCGGGACGGAAGAAATGGCGACACGTAAATACTCATCCCATTTTGCCTCCACAGAGCCACCCTGTTCAGCAGCAGCTATGCATCAGTGGTTGCTGTCGTATGACGTCAAGTTACTGCAGTGAGTCTGTTTTGAAGAAAGTTAGAAGCTATAGCTTAACCAACGTCATCGATCTCTATTGTAACGATCACCAACATCTGAAATAAGTTGATGTCACATCACTGCAAGAGAGCTGTATGTTGAGAACAGAAGTTTCTTTTCTGAATTATGTTGTGACTTGTGAATTATGAGCTAGGACACCTCAATCAAGCTCGTCCATCAGTAAACACTTGAGACACAGGGAATGTTTTGCAGTAAATCACACAGACACTTTAAAGAAACACAGGGGATGAAGGCTACAAAGAGCTCCATTACTAGTGTTACACGCACCATCCTATCTTATAAGAATAAACAATCTTAAACAAAGTAAAATGCATACAATTAAGAGGCTCTCTTTTAATATTCCAACATCCATTGAGACAACTCATTTTAATGCAGACTATGAGTAGAAACAACAAGGAAACGCTAGTACAGCAGGGAGAAGAGATATGAGCGTATGTCCAGGGACAACGGGGCTTGCACAGGTCACCGTCCCTCTGTCCTTGTGACCGTCACTTTGTCTCCAATCTACAATGGCACTTCTCTGTGGTGTATACAAATTTTAACAGAAAAAGTTCTGGAAACACTTAATCCATTTGAAATGACGACTTCTGCAGAGAATTAAACCTTGTTTACAAATATTTTTCCTTCAGCTATAAAAACTGCACATTTCTGAATTGGAAAGATAGGGAGTTTTTTATACTTTATAGCCACAGTTAACCAACTGTCATAAAAATGTCCTAAGATTTTTAATAAACACAGTGATTTTTACTGCAAGTAGTACTTCGACTTCAGTACTTTCAAGGTCAACTTTGCATGTAATAACTCCAAATCAGGTTAAGGCCTGCATTCTGGTTTGATTTTACAGGGCTGTAACAGAAAGGAAAAAAGGGTTTTTACCCAACCTCTGTTAAATGTCTACAATTAGGGAGTCTTATCTTTCCATGTATGAGTCAGGAGAGAGATTGAAATGCTTTCTTCAGCACGCTTTATTTTCACTGATTGAAAAGGGCAATCTTCCTAACATCTAAGTATTATAAATAAAAGCCTAAATCCAAATATTTACATTTTAAATGGCTTACTTTGCAAAAGACATGAATCTCAGTGATTTCAGAACAGAGTTAGGGATGTAGCTTTTATGGAAGGGTAAAAAGGACACTTAAAAACCCAAGAACATTATGTTTGGAGATCCTTCTTTAGACAAACCACTTTGGTATTTTTTTTTTTATTTAAGTACTCTTTAGTGGCAGAAATATCTATCTTTAGAAAAAGAAGCCATGATAAAGATCTATACAAGAATTAATAGCCCCATGCCAAAAAAAAAAAAAAAAAAAGGAAGAATTTCTAAAAAGCTTTCAGTGCTCCTCCAACTAAACAGGAAAAGGATAACTTTCAAGTGAAATACGAGCAATTCCCACAAATTGTATAATGGTAGGGACCATCAACATGAGCACAACCTGCTTTTTCTCTTGCTGGAGAAGTCATGCCGTAGGACTACTTCTGTAACCTAAGTGTTAGGGTTCTCATAAATTGCATTCCAAGTGTAAGCTAGCAGTTTATAAAATCATCGTATGTGTTTTATATACAGTTATGCAGAATTCAAAATAGTTATCATTTAAGTGAAGCGTATGACTTTTCTTTACCGTAAGTATGTAAACAGTGATATCGCCACATTAGAATTTAGTTGGTTATTCAAGTGGAAAACTACTGAGTGGGGTCAGAGAAGATTCCTGGTGGGAAGCTGGTGCACGTACAAGCTAAAATAAAACAGCACAGGAAAAATTAATTTGCTGGCAGAAGAACTCTCTCCTGTACCTGACAGATAGCAGACTCCTCACCTGAACAATGTATGGGCAGGCAGAGCAATTGTTTCAGTGATGGATAGTAAAGTTAGTTACTCAAAGCTTCCTTTTGCATTTGCTTTCTATATTTTAAAGTTGAGATGGGTTACTGATAAGCTGTAGCCTACCCAGTCAACCAAAAATCTGCAAGACAACAGTCCTGGTGCCTAGAAAAGCCTTCTGTCTCTGTATAGATTTAGTTATCTTCACTGATGTCTGCACTCAGCACTGTTGCTGGAAAGTTAGGTTACTGTAGAGCTACCAGCCGTGTCCTACCATGGGTCTTCCAGGAAAGAGCTTGCCAAGGCACTGAGCCCTAACTCCACTGTCCCATCAAACAAGACTTCAAAATATACCTTTGTAGATGTTCTTCATGAAATTCATATGCTTCATACTGGCAGAGTCTACAGGAGCTTCATCATTTCAACAGTAGGTTTGCTTTAGTGCTCTATGTTTTCATATAAATGAGAAAGTTCCAGACAGACTAAGAACTCCAACCCCCAAATACATTTTTTTTTTCCCTTAAGAGAGGCTGTTCTGGTTTTAGTATCTTGAATGTCTGCATACATGATATGCATATTTAGGTTGGCGTGCATGATTTGGCAGTAGGAGCAAAATAAATAAGGGGACTGAGAATT